GTCCTAAGATTACTTTCTACGTAAGGTCCCCATACGTCCATATTTGCCTGGACGCTGCCTTAAGTTATGAGTGCGTTTTAACGCGTTCTGGTGATTACTAGGTATTCTTGGAAGAACATGTTTGAACTCGCTTTGTTCAACAAGCTCGAACTGTTCTTTCAAGAAACTAGTAATTAATCAAACAAAACGCTTTAGATGTCACTCTTGAACTTGTTAATCAAAACCTACGCAAAGCGTGCTCGTTTCTCCTGGTCAGAGAATGAGTGGTAATAATAACGATATGAGCGGCATCATATTTGTTCGAGAAGTTTGAAAGTGAGCTCTTTTACTATCACTCCCGTATCTCCAAATACCTTTTACTTCGGAAACTTTCTGCGCTGGATTCTATCGGCGCAGTTTCTAAATCGTTTTTCCAGGCTTGATAAAGACCTTTCATTTCTTATTCAAATTTTTTTGGATTTGTGACCATTTGAATTGGTAATTTTATCCGCGAACGTTTGCTTTTTCGTCTCTCCATATTTGTATTCGCTAGTTTAGATTTCCTCTGATGTATTCAATTTTGCTTAAAAGTCATTATCCGCTTATTTTATCCGCTGTAATTCACTTTCTCTCGTAAACTTTATTGCAACAACAGAAAGAATGGAAAAAATATCACAATGAGAATTGCAAGCTTCTCAAAAGTCTGCTTTTTTTATGTACAATGGATAATTAGATATCACAATCGATATCTTTTGTTTATAGTCACTCTTTTTTCATTTTCCATGGAAATCTAAAAGGGTGCGCTGGCTTTGGTTCTCCCCAGTCCCTGTTGATATTGATGGGATGCTCTTTGATGGTGATTCCTACCACTTTGGATAAGAATACTGCAGTCAGAATCGAGAACACAACAACCAAAAATGCGAAAACGTAGAATGTTTCCTAAAATTACTGATGACAGCTACGCTTATGAAAAAAAAGGAACTTACCTCATCAAAGATTTCGTTGAAAGTTGGTATGGACTGATTGATAAAGTGGACAACCTCAAGAAGCCACGCTTTTCTTCCAGAAGGTCGTTTTCCTTGGTAGTAATAGTCTCCCCAGTTGTGATCTCTCCCTTTGTCCATGTTCATTGTAACGGATCAAGCTGGTTTCACATTAGAGACGGAATAAGAATATTCGAGAAGGGACAGGATAAGAAAAGCTGCGAAGAATCAATGAAAAGTACACGCACTGAGGATTTGAGGGATGTTGACTCGGGCTCCGGATCGATACGCTGCGGCGCAGCTTATTAAACCGCGGGCAGCTTTTGCACTCATCTGAGAAGCTTCTTGGTTTTGAATTGAGAAACTTTACGTGAGAAAATCGCCTAATAGCTTTTGGTCTGCGAATTTCAACAAAAACCAAACAAATTATTAAATTGGAAGAAGCTAGATTCGCGTACACATTTTTTGCCAAAAGCAAAACATTCAGTGGTCGTCTGCTAGTATTTTTTCTGTTAAAATTGTGCTAACCTTATTTTCATTCTCGGAAGGTCTTGTTCTTCTTAACCGCATATGTTGTGATTTTGATTCAGCATTTCTTCTTACAGTTCTCTGAACGTTTTCATCCATATCGCCGATTTCAAAAGTTCTCAAAAAATGCCAGGTTCAACAGTAGTTCTGATATTTTATCTACAAAGTTTTCTGTTGTTTTTTGTTGAACAGCTAAGCAAAGATTTTCATGGACTTACAGTTTGCGGAACTTATTGCCTCAATAAATCTTACTCGCAGTTTTTTCAGCGAGCTGTTTTTCTTCTTCATTTGTGAAGTTTCCGAATTTTTTCGAAAGATTCTCAGCTCGTAAACAATTCCAACTCATATGGCATTATTTCAGGATTTCATTTTAATCTTGTGAATTTTTTATTCGATATCAAAGTGTTGCTATTCAGGTTCGCACAGGGCAAGAATTTCTTAGTCATCATGATGTCGTGGTGGAGTCACCTACAGGATCAGGAAAAACACTTGCATATCTCTTACCTACTTTCACCATTCTCAGCAAAAGAGGAGCGGTACTGCATGCGAGAATTACTGTTTTCTCCCCACTATAATGCTTTATTTCAGTTTGGCAAGCACGAGTTTGGCGCAGTGATTTTGTCACCTTCGCGCGAGCTTTCGTCACAGATAGCGACTGTAAGCATATAGCATCTGTAGGTGTCCAGCTGCCATCATGGACATTTTAGGTGGCTGCACCCTATGCCGAAAAGCTAGGATATTCCATAGCGGTGACTGTGGGAGGAACAAAAATCGAGCAAAATCTGAAGAAATTGAAAAATCAAGGGTTTGTAACTTATAATAGATTTTTTAAAATTTTTTTATTTCCGGCGTTGAGTGGATTTCATTCCAGAGGAAATATACTGGTCGCTACACCAGGTCGTCTGTTCCAGCTTTTAACCTTAGATAAAGATGGAAGCTTGAAAAGATCTCTAAGAACTGTTGAGGTTTTGATAGTGGACGAAGCTGATCGTTTCCAAGAAACCCAGTTTGAAATGCAGTGAGTTTACCTTTGCTATCTGGAGCCTTTTTCTTTCTCTTCATTATGGCTTTCTCTGCCATTTCGTCTTCTTTTTTGTTATTCTCCATCGGCTCAATCTCATTTGATATATTGTCAATGGTGGATGCCGCCATTCATTTGGTCGAACATTTTGGCAGTTTGGCTGGCGGAGTTCAATGTTTCACAAAAAAAAAAGAATATAAATCTTGAGAATTGAGTTCTTGAATGCTGAGCTGTTCTATATCTCTGTCTGTATACATGTCTAGTCACAGCATCTTTTTTCAATGCTACAAATCCAAAAAGATCTCCTCGGCTTTTACCATTTCAACTTTGAGCACGTATATTGCAGTTGAATCGTTTGATCTATCATTCGTACGAGCACTAAAACCCGAAATTTTTGAATGTCAAATTTTGTCAAAATTTTACCACAACTGCGGTTTTGCTTTATCTTAGACGTCTCTTCTATACTGCCACAAACTCTATCTGGGCGTTTTGACTTTCTAAATTTTTCTATAGTTTCAAGGAAATACTGCAATCCTTGCCTAAGCAACGGCGTACTGGTCTGTTCTCAGCGACGCAGGCGAAGGAAATGGATGATCTTACCATGTTTGGCTTGAGGAACAAGAAAGTGATCAAAATAAAGCAATCAACCGATTTAGTCTCACCTTCAACACTGAGCAATTTCTATACCGTAAGCGCTTTGGGTGCTATTGTAGAGCTATCCCACTCAGTTTTCTGTAGGTTTGCGAGGCAGCAGAAAAATTGATGTGCACCGTTGAGTTCGTGCGCAACAAACCAGACAAGAAAATCTTAGTGTTTTTCCCTTCGTGTGGTGGAGTCAACTATTTTCACAAGGTTAGTTCCATATTCAACGTTATTGTCAGACACTTGCCGTTTCTGAGGCTTTATTTCTTAGATTTTATCGAGAGTGCTTACAAAGCGACCATTATATGCAGTGCATGGGCATAGTTCGACGAGTGAACGTTCTAAACAGGCAAGTTTTTTTTTGTGGAGAGGAAAAACTTTTTTTGATGAAAAGAGAGTTTCAGATTGAAGACTTCCGCAAAAGCGATAATGGTGTAATGTTGTCTACTGACGTTATGTCTCGAGGTATAGACATCCAAGATATCGACTGGGTCCTCCAATTTGAGATCCCTAAATTGTCAAGGTATCTGCTCTGAACCCCAGCCAGTTTGTATTGTTCTTTTTTAGCTGGTTTGTGCATCGCTCAGGACGAACTGCTCGTTGTGGTAGGGATGGAAATGCTTTGCTGGTAATTACTCCTCAACAAACAGCCTACATTGACTACTTGCGGAAGCACGAGCAGGTATGACCTTTTTTGACTTTGCTGCTTTTTTCACAATTTTTTTTCTGCTAATTTTCTTTATGTTGACCACTTGCAGGTGGAACTGAAGCAACTTTCTGTACCTACCAGCAATGCATCGAAAGCGGAACAGCT